AAGAGGAACAATTGTAATAATCTGAACAATATAGATTAAATTTTTAAAAATTAATTTCTTTATTGATTAAGGTATCACATATTTGTCCTCAACCCCCCTCCCATTCCAGTTCCCCACCCCTCCCCACTCATGCCCCCACCCTCCTATTGTCCTTGACCACTGGTTAGGCTCATATGTGTGCACATAAGTCCTTTAGTTGATCTCTCCCTTTTATCCCCACCCTCCTTTTGAGGTCCAACAGTCTGACCCCTGGCTCCTTATCTCTGGGTCTGTTCTTGGTCATCAGTCTATGTTGTTCACCATTTCCCCTAGATGAGTAAGATCATGTCCTACTGGGAATATACTTATAAGAATCAAAAATGAGACAAGCAATAATCGTTATGCCAAAAGGCAAATGAATCAGTCTGTAGTGAGCTTCTTTCTGGGCCACCAGTTCTTTTAAGACCCAATTTCAGTGTCAAACAGTTCCTTATGTGTACATGTGAGCAATGATATTTCAGTTCTGGATGTAAATTTTTTTTTTAAAGTGTGTCTATCACTTTACTTTTTATCCAATCCCAGATATTTCCCCTTTGCTTTCTCCCACCTCCCTAATCTATCACAGTGGATTTCAAGTAACCCATATCCCCTCTTTAAAAAAAAAAAAAAAAAAAAAATATATATATATATATATATATATATATATATATATATATATATATATATTTTTAATTTTTTTTAATTGATTTTTTACAGAGAGGAAGGGAGAGGGACAGAGAGCCAGAAACATCGATGAGAGTCATCGATCAGCTGCCTCTTGCAACCAAGGTACATGCCCTAGACCAGAATTGAACCCGGGACCCTTCAGTCTACAGGCTGATGCTCTATCCATTGAGCCAAACTGGTTTTGGCCATATCCCCTCTTTTGATTGTAATCTATATATATATTAAAGACTAATATGCAAAGTGTCTCCTCCGGGAGTTGGAGCGCTTGCTATGACATGTGCTGACCATCAGAAGGTGGCATGGAATGAAGGAAGACCCTGGTCGGCCAGGCCTAGAGACCCTACCTATGCATGACTTTTACGCACCAGGCCTCTAGTGTATAAAATAAGGTGCAAAACTGCCATTCTCCAGAGTATTATCTCAATCCTTTAAGATTTTGCTTCCTGACAATTGTTGCCAGTTTGGCTCAAATAAGCTCACAAAAATTCTTCACAGGTTTGAATGTTCCTTGCATTGACACAGCGCCCCCCCCCCCCCCCAAGTTGTCTGGGTTAGTCTGTGGCCCCTTTTTGTCCACACCCTTTTGGCATTTCCTAAAGAAGCCTATTTGTTTTTCCCAAAGACCGTTTCTCCCCATTCCTTTCCCCCAAGTTGTAGATAAAAACTGTTGTGGGGTCGAACCCTGGGTTCAAAATAAGACCACGGGAGGCTGATGATTGATTAAAAACATAGCAGGCAAGGATTTATTGACGGCCACAAGAGCACCACAAGCAGGCGGTCACACTCGCGGCCGCACTGTTCCAGGTGCAGGCAGTCCTTTTAAAGGTCCAAACCACAAGAATGTTCATTTGTTCTAAATTCTAAATCTTAAAGGCTGGGAACAGCCCTGCACATCCTGCTGGACATTGGAATGTGGCCCTATCTTGTGAAAGCAGATAGTACAGAAGCAGAGCTGAGCAGTTAATCTCTAAAGGTTACCTGCAGTTTCTACCCCTGAAGCTACTGAGTCAGTGGGAATCTATCTCCTGTGGTCCTGGTGCACAGGCACAGGAAAACTGCCTTGGCCTCCAGGTCTCAATCTGGTAGCTGAGGCAACTACCCTATGTTTAAGCAAGTGCAGCAGCCAGAATAGCAGAGTTAAAACTCAAACAGCAGTTTTTACCCAAGTATGGTTGCTACCATATTTCAAAAACTTTTAACTTTACCTGCTTAATAAGCCAGCTACTTCCTTTGTGGAAGCCCAAATACATACTACAAACTGGTGTGTGTGCATTTGTTTTGTTTTGTTTTTCCCCCCCTGTTGATCAGACTTTTTCAGTTTAATTAGCAAGGCCCAGCCACTGAACCAAGAGGTTATGGGGAAAGTTTTTTTTCCCCTTTGCAGAAGCACGTCTAGATGAATGTAGTGATTTGAGGAATTTGTTGTTTAACCTTCAGCCAATACCATGTTTCCCCGAAAATAAGACATCCTCCGAAAATAAGACCTACTTACAGGTTTCCTTCTGAGTGAAATATGAGGCATTCCCCGAAAATAAGGCCCCCCCCACTAGGCTAAACATGAGAGATTTGGTCCACTGATTCTGAAAGAAAGGGAGTCACAAGAAATTCACCAGGAAATTCAGGAATTGGATTGTTATGATGATGTTCCAGAAGATGATGACATGATTGTCATTGAATAAATGAGTAAATTCTTGATACTGTAGGATTCACAGTTTGTCTGGATTGTGTTGACAACTACCATTCTACCGTACCGTATACAGTAATAAATTTCCTTTATTTTCATTTAACAATAAATGTGTACCGTATTCTTCTTCATGGAAAAATAAGACATCCCCTGAAAATAAGACCTAGAGCATCTTTGGGAGCAAAAATTAATTTAAGACACTGTCTTATTTTCGGGGAAACAGGGTACTAAAGAATGGGACAAATGAAGCAAATACAGTGAAATACTGATCTGGACAATTTATATAATATATGGGGTCCCTTGTTCTCTTGTGTGTTTTCTTTAATTTTTGTTTTAAAAAGTTTCTCTAAATTCAATTTCCTAAATGGAAAGAAACCCTCAGCCCAAGCCGTGAGTCAGAGCCCTAGAAGGCATGCCGGATGGTGTTCCCATGAGCATTGTCTGTCCGCCTGGGTCCTCCCCTCCGGAGCACTGGCCGGTGCGGGCAGGACTGCGCAGTCCCACTCCGTCCTCACTGCTCGGCTCAGGAGGCCGCACCCAACAAACACCCGCTGCCCCCCGGGAAAGCTAGCGGTCCGTCTGCGTCCACAGCCGGGCGCCTGCAGATGAGCCCGTCTGCTGCTCGGCCCTTTGGGGTGGCGCGAACCTCCGTTTCCTCCTGTGTCCGCTCCCAGGGGCAGGACTCAAATGGCCAGGGCAGGGCTAAGGGCAGGGTTGGGAGTCAGCGACTCACCAAAACCACCTCCACCGCTGGCCAGACCCTCGGGGACCCACCCTGTTCCGTGCACCTTGAACCCGCCCGCCCCTCCTAACCCGGGTCCGGGCGCCGCCCCTCTCCTTCCTCCCCGGCGCCTCTGGAGCCCAGACCCCATCACCTCCCCCACGGGGCGCCGGTTTCTGCTGCCTCTACCACCTCCACCTTCCCCCCAACGCCAGACACCCCGCCCCCGCTGCCCTCTCCGCTTCTTCCCAAAGCTTTTCCTTTCCCTCATACCCCATGTCCGCCCTCTGCCCCCAACTCGCGTACCCCCATCCAGGGACAAGGTTTGGTCCCGTCCTCACCCCTGGCCCATCCCAGTTGGTCTATCAAAAATCCCTCCCCCACCCACTGCCCTCCGCCTTTCACCCGCCCAGTCCTCCCGCACCCTCACACGCCCCCAAGGCCTCCTAGCCTCTGCTGACGCCACAAAGCCCGCGCCCCTGAGGCCACCGTCCCTCCCCCTCCCCCTGGTCTCCGCGGCGCAAACGCAGGTTTTCCAGCGCCCCCGTTTGCGCTCCTGGTCGTGGTCCGGGGCGCCTGGTCCGGCAGCGTGCACCCCTCTCCGCGGTGAGTACCGGTCCATCCAGGGGCGGTCGGGTGGTCGCCCTGTGGGCGCCCTGCACACTGAGGTCCATCCAGGGGCGGTCGGGTGGTCGCCCAGTGGGCGCCCTGCACACTGAGGCCCCTGTGGGCGCAACCTGCAGTGATACACAGCTGCTGACTTGAAGCAGGTGGTTGTCAGTTGGAACCAGAGGGTCACCTGCGTTAGCCCTAATTACAGGAGCATCCTCAGGACCGAGGGCCAAGGGTCCACTTCACTGACCCAGAGTCCTTGGCCCCCTTCCCCTGAGCCTGGCCCAGACCGGTGCCCACCAGACCATCCTGTGCTCATCCAGCTTCAGGTGGGTAGGCAGCAGAAGGGACTGACTCCCAGGGCTCTGTGTAGAGAGGCAGCTTCCACAGGGTGGACCCTTGTCTGAAATATCAGAGCCTCTCTCTGGGGAGTGGCAGGGCAGGACCGGACAGTGCTGTGGGTCAGAAATGACTTTCAGATCTACTCTGACTCGCCCCAGTGACCACCCCAGGAGGTGCATGGGTGTTCGAACACCGAAGTGTGTGCATGTGCCCCTGTGTGTGTGAATACATGTGTGCATACATGTGCATGCATGAATCATCCTGTGTCTCCTGCACTGCATCTCAGCAAAGGAAACCAGAGCAGGTGGTAGAGCAGTAAGGACATTTTATTCAGGATTGCTGTAGGGGACAGACAGCACAGAACCCCGCAGAAAGCTCAACTCTCAGGACAGGATGGGCCAGTGGGGATTTCCGGTCAAGGTGGGTTAGCGATAGGAAATTACTAACAGGAAGCCTCTGGGTAGGGGCTTCTGTCTAAACCCACATTGGGATTCTGATTAAACTCAGACACCAACACGGAAGCCCAGCGCCTATTTGGAAAGTTCTGGGAACCTGAATGGTTTTTGGTCAAGCAGAGATCTTGTCCAACTCTGACTTTTCCTTTTAAAGTACTCCTTTCCATTGTTGCATGGATGTCGTTAGAGAAAAACTGATTCTGACACTGGCTAAACCCGAAAGGCAGACTTTATTCAAGACTATTGCAATAAGGCCGAAACCAGTTTGGCTCAGTGGTAGAGCGTTGGTCTGCAGACTGAAGGGTCCCAGGTTCGATTCCGGCCAAGGGCATGTACATTGGTTGCGGGCACATCCCCGGTAGGGGGTGTGCAAGAGGCAGCTGGTCGATGTTTCTCTCTCATCGACGTTTCAAGCTCTCTATCTCTCTCCCTTCCTCTCTGTAAAAAATCAATTAAAAAATAAAAAAAAAAGACTATTGCAACAGGGAGATGGGGTCATCTTCTAGTCTAGCCCACAAGGTGGCAGGATGGCCAAGAGCAAGGTGAGGGGGTTAGTGATGGAAAATCACAAGGAAGAGAAATGGGGAGGGGTCTTCTTGCCAAACTGACTAGCAGGATTCCTGCACATTCATCACGGGAGGGGTGGGATGGGCTCTGAATGGAAAACTGGGCATGGCTGGGTGGAGACAGGTGGCAGCTTAGGGGCACCTGGCTGGTGTGGAAAGGGTGCCAGCTTTCAGAGGCACCTATGCCTCGTACTGAAGGCAAGCCAGGTGCCCTCACAGGACCGTGCTCAGTGCCGTCTGCAAGAGGACACCTCAAGTGCCTGGGGCTCTGGGCAGAGGGTGTGGGCGGATACTGTTTCTTTCCCAGGAGCCATGGATGCCGTGGAACTTTCCAGAAAGCTGCAGGAGGAGGCGACATGCTCCATCTGCCTTGATTATTTCACCGACCCCGTGATGACCACCTGTGGCCACAACTTCTGCCGGGAGTGCATCCGGCTGACTTGGGAGAAGACCAGAGGCAAGAAGGGCAGGAGGAAGCGCAGGGGGGTCTTCCCCTGCCCCGAGTGCCGCGAGCTGTCCCCCCAGAGGGCCCTGCGGCCCAACCGCCTGCTGACCAAGGTGGCCGAGATGGCGCGGCAGCACCCAGGCTTCCAGAGCAGGGATCTGTGCCAGGTGCACCAGGAGGTGCTCAAGCTCTTCTGCGAAGATGACCAGAGCCCCATCTGCGTGGTCTGCAGGGAGTCTCAGGAACATCGGCCTCACAAAGTGGTCCCGGTGGAGGAGGCCGTGAAGGAGCACAAGGTGGGCCCAGGGGTGAGGAGCCCGAGTGCGTGTCTGTGTGTCCAGGGTGTACCAGCCAGAGAGGAGAACCGCTGTAACAAACAGCCCGTATGCAGGACCCCACAGCAGAAGTGTCTGCAGCTCCCACAGAAAAGCAGGCAGGTGGCAGGGCCAGCTGAGCGTCCCCTTCTTTTCAGTTATTCAGGGGCCCAGGCTGACACAGCGGCCTCAGAGCCATCTGTGTGGGCAGGCTGGTGACCCTTTGTAGGGGAGGAAAGAGCCTTTTTCTTCCACCCTAAGTCAGACTGAGAAAAGACATGTCAAAGAGAGAGAGGCAAACGGTTAACATGTGGCCCGCATACAGCACAGCGTGTGTACGGCTGGCTAGGTGGCATCTGAACAGGGAATAGGACTTGGAGAGAAGAGACAAGGGAAAGGTGACAGGCTCCAACTCGGTCCATTCCAGCTGCTGTCACAGAACACAAGGCAGGGTGGCTTATGGACAGCCAGAACTTCATGCGCCTGGCTCTGGAGGCTGGAAGTCCAAGATCAGGGCACCAGCAATCAGTGGGGGCTCCCTTCCCAGTTCATGGACAGCCAACTTCCCACTGTCTTCACCCTAGGGAAGCCCCATTCCTGAGGGCTCCACCTTTCAGACCTCACCACCTCTCAAAGGCCCATTCTCCTTGGGGGTTAGGATTCAAGGTGAACTTGTGTGTGTGTGTGGGGGGGGGGGGGGAACGGGAACGGAAACGGACACACACGACACATTCAGATCATAACAAAGTAAATATTTGGGGGAAACTAACGAAAGACAAAGTCCATCAGTGGTATCCCACTGTCTACCTCCTTCAGAGCCACAAACCTTCCCCTGGGAGGCAGACTCGTGGCAGCCCTCCTTCCTCAGCAGCTTCTGCTTTTAGTCATGTAACAGGAGCCTTGGAAGGTATCTTTCTGCCTCCAGCTCAAAACAATCCTCACGCCCCCGGGGCATGTTATGGGGTATGTCCATCCCCTTTACCATGCAGCTTCAGGGGCACCTCCTGCTGTGGGTGTGCAGGGGGCCTCCAACTCCTATCCCGCGGTCTGTTGTCTGCAGCTGAAGCTGGAGGGCGACATGAGGCAGCTGCGGGAGGAGATGGAGAAGACCCAGACGCTGCAGACCAGGGAGCAGCAGGCCTTGGCCGAGTGGCAGGCAGGTGCTGAGACCTTGAGGAATGGGCGGGAAGGCCTGGCCAGGCCCCAGGGTGCTGCAGGGCTTCTAGAACCTGTGGACCCTCAAGGTGGATGACAGCACAAGACCCAGGAAAGGCACGGAATTCCCACCAATCAGGACTGAAAATGTGCACTCAGCCCCGATTGGCCACTTTGAAGCAGGGACTGAGGGGTACACAGGGGCCTTGATGGCCATCTGTACCAGAGCCACCACTGTGTGGCCCTCCCCCTCCCCCAGCTGTCCTGGTTTCCTGTGGGTCACTGTGGCCATGAGATGTGCCCCCTCCAAGTTGGGGGGCACAGGATGGTAGTCCCCTGGCAGTGCCTCACCTCCAGGTCCCACCCTGCAGGAGATGGTGAGGCAGCAGAGACGGCTCATTGTGACCGAGTTCAAGAAGATGGCTGCCCTCCTGGTGGAGGAGGAGCAGCGCCTCCTGCAGGCCCTGCGGCAGGAGGAGCAGGACACGGCTGCCAGGCTGCGGGAGAATATGTTCGCACTAGAGCAGCAGAGCTGCTCCCTGGAGACCCTGCTGTTGCGGCTGGAGGACTGCAGCACCCGAGAGCCACTGCAGATGCTGCAGGTGAGACTCCCTGCTCACCTGGCTGGGTGGGTGGACACACATTCTGGACCCGGTGGGGTGGACCTGCCAGGGCAAATACAGACCAACAGAGAGGGCTCTGTCTTCGTCAGCTCAGGCTGAGTAACAGACACGGGCTGGGGGCTTAAAACATTTCTCTCAGCCTGGAGGCTGGAAGACCGGTTCTCCGGAGGCCTCTCTCCTTGGTGTGTGGATGCCATGTCCTCCCCGTGTCTGCTCTGCTCTGCTAAGGTCACCAAGTCACATTGGATTGGGGCCCACCCTTGTGACCTCATTTCACCTTCATCACCTTCTAAAGGCCCCACCTCCAAATACAGCCTCATCTGAGGTGCTCGGGCCGGGCTCCATGTGGGCTGGGGGACACAATCAGTCCTAGGCACCGTGTTCTGCATTCCCTTCCTTGCCTGAGGGGCGGGGGATGGCCCAGGGGCAGCCGTCATCCACTTGGTGACATGGGGCAGGCACACACCAGCCAGGTCAGGCCTGGTGAGTTCAAGGCAGGAGCAAGTCATGTGATCCTGCTGAGGGTCTGGAATGGGGGAGCAGGTGCAGCTGGCCTGCCAGGGATGGCCTGCACTGGGAAGCCAGAGAAGTGGGAGTGATTATGTTGGCCGCCAAGTCAATTGTGTGGAAAAATGGAACCCGTAGCAAAAAACGTTATTTCATGCCGTGAGCCATCTCACTCACATTGAAGCAAATGCCACATGCAAGGTCAGCACCGGTCTCCTGGCGAGATGTCCTGGCATCTTGGGACCAGTGTCCTGGTTCAGTTAAGACTGCACTTGCCCCCACTTCGGGGAACACTTGATCTTCTAGTAAAAAGCAGCCCATTCGCCACCCACGGAACACTCCTGAGCTGCCCAAGGCCTGCAGCGGGGAAGCGCCATTGGGTCCCCCATGCCTTCCCACCAGTCCAGAGCAGGACAGCTTTTGTGTTCTTACTAACACAAAAGCAGGGGGACAGCAGCAGAGCTGGGTGGCCAAGCGATAGGGATCCATTCTGAAAAGTGGGAAGAGGGCCACGGGAAAGCATTAAGAATTCTCCTTGCTCCGCAGGCCAGACATGTCCGCACAGGGGGTTTGGGGACGCCCCAGGTTCCTAACGAGGTAGCGGACCTCCCTCTCTCCATGTTTTCGCAGGACATGAAGGAGCCTCAGGCCAGGTATATGAGCGCCTGAGGTGCAGGCAGGGAGGGCTTCACCCGGGGCCAGAGGGGTCAGTAACATCTGTCCCCTCTGGAGGAAGAACAACTTGAGTGTGCAGTACCCAGAGGCCACCCCCATCTTGCTGAGGACTGTCTGCAGGGTCCCCGGGCAGATAGAGGTGTTCAAGAGTTTCCAAGGTAAGTGGGGCCTGTCTCCCGACCAGAGCCAGCCCTCGGAGCCTTGAATGTCCACTGAGAATTCCCATCCTACCCTTACCTGCCACTCCCAGAGGCCCAAATGGTCCCCAGCTCATCTCCTTGGCACCATCATCATCGGCACTGGGGTACGGCCCATGCAGAGACCCAGGCTCACAGCTGGACTCGGCCAAGGGGGCGCCTGGGAGGGTGGTGGCCAGGGAGCACAGGGAGGACTCAGCCCCGTCCCTGTGCCGGGCCTGTCTGCAGAGAACGTGGTACCCGACCCTGCCACAGCGTACCCCTACCTGCTCCTGTACGAGAGCCACCAGAGGCACTACCTCAGCACGCCACCGGACGGCACGCCCTGCAGCAAGGACAGGTTCCTGGCCTACCCCTGTGCGGTGGGCTGCCAGACCTTCTCCTCAGGGCGGCACTACTGGGAGGTGGGCATGAACCTCACGGGCGAGGCGCTGTGGGCCCTCGGTGTGTGCAGGGACAATGTGAGCCGGACGGACAGAGTCCCCAAGTCCCCGGAAAATGGATTCTGGGTCGTTCAGCTGTGCAAGGGAAAGAAGTACGAGCCCCCCGTGTCCACCCTGTTCCCCATCACACTGACGGAGCCCCCCAGCCATGTGGGCATCTTCCTGGACTTTGAGGCCGGGGAGGTGTCTTTCTACAATGCCAGCAGCGGGTCCCACCTGCACACCTATGTGGAGCCAACCTTCCCGGGCCCCCTGAAGCCCTTCTTTTGCCTTGGGGTCCCCAAATCCGGCCAGATGGTCATCTCAACAGTGACACTGTGGGTGAAGGGATAGGCGTGTAGGCAGGGAGTGCGGGCACTCCACTTTCTCTGGAAAGTGAGGTGGTCCTGCTGGGCAGCCACCTGCCCTGCTGATCTCCGGGGAGCACTGGGGGGCCCTGCTGGCCGCGGGCTCACCACGCCGAAGTGTAATCTCATTAAAGCAGTTACACCACAGACTGTGATCACAGGTGCTTGACAGAGGGACCCATACCACTCTGAGTAACACTTAGGGACCAGGCCCTGGTGCTGCAGCTTTTTTTAGACACGTTGCCCTCCACCTGCCACTCCCTGGGTCCTCCTGGTTCGGGGTGTTATAAGGAAACCTGTGGGTCCACCTTTCTTGTTATCAGCAATTCCACATCTGGGTCTTCCATAGGGAAAACAAGGACGTACACGTTTTCAAGCTGAACCCTTAAAAACTTCAGAGCTGCCCACCCCCGTCCCTTTCCACCCCACCCCCCACCCCCTTGCACCTGCGGGAAGTGGGGGGTTAAATTCAATAAGTAAGGATCATGAGTGTCGGCGGGTTCTCTCCTTTCACTCCCCACCCCAACCCACCCCCGCAGTTTCCAGCGCATTAGCCATCAGCACCCCAGAATTCCAGCCCGCGCACTCCTACCTCAACGCGACCAGAGTCCCCACGGGCAGAGCGCGCCCACCCATTCATTCCGACCACTTGGCGCACGGGAGCGGCTGGGGAGACCCCAGCCCTCGTAGTCTCGAGGACCCCAGGGACCGTGCCGCGCGCCCCGCTGGCCCGGCCCCTTCCCCTGGCCCGAGGACCAAACAGGCCGCGCGACCCCCGGGCGAGCCGGAGCTGCGAGAACGCGCAAGGGCGGCATCGGAGACGCCAGGTCAGAGGGCGCACAGCCTTCCCGAGGGCCACGTGACAGGCCACACAGCCAATCCTGGACCAGAACGGGTGTTTTCCCCGCCTCTAACCCCGCCCCCCAAACAGCTGCTTCCTGCTTCCGCCGCGCTGCCTCCTGCCCGCATCCGGGAGCCGCGGCGCCCCGAGCACCCTGCGCCTCGCGTTCCATCAGCCCCCGCGCCCCCCGGTTTCCGGAGTCCCCGGTCCCCCCAAGTCCCGACGGCGGCCGGCCAGCGCCCGACTCGGGGGGAGCGCCGCCTGCTCCGCTTTCCCGCGCCATGGCCGCCTCCGACTTGTCCACCAACCTCCAGGAGGAGGCCACCTGCGCCATCTGCCTCGACTACTTCATGGACCCGGTGATGACCGATTGCGGCCACAACTTCTGCCGCGAGTGCATCCGGCGCTGCTGGGGCCAGCCCGAGGGCCCGTACGCCTGCCCCGAGTGCCGCGAGCTGTCCCCGCAGCGGAACCTGCGGCCCAACCGCCCGCTGGCCAAGATGGCCGAGATGGCGCGGCGCCTGCACCCGCCGTCCCCGGTGCCCCAGGGCGTGTGCGCCGCGCACCGCGAGCCGCTGGCGTCCTTCTGCGCCGACGAGCTGCGCCTGCTGTGCGCCGCCTGCGAGCGCTCCGGGGAGCACTGGGCGCACCGCGTCCGCCCGCTGCAGGACGCCGCCGAGGACCTCAAGGTGCGCGCGGCGGCGCGGCGCAGGCCTGGCCTGGCCTGGGCTGTGGTTTTGTTTTAAGGGGGGCGGGGCGCTTGGCCTTTCCCGGACCCGTACTCTCCGGGGTTGGGGCACCCCTCAGTAGTGGGGAGCTGGGAGAAGGAGGCGGGCTCTGGGCCGGGGTGACGGCACAGTGGCCGGGACAGAGCCCAGCGCAGGAGAAAGTGGGGAGAGAACAGCAGAGGTGTTCCTTCAGGTGGGACGAATGAGAGCTCATCTCCGGTGGGGCCCGTGTTGGGGCCTCAGCCGGTGCTGAAGGCCTGGTGAGAAGCCACTCCGGGAGGCAGACGGCAGGGCCACCGCTGCCATCTGACTCACCAGAGCTCAGCTGTGCTTAGGTCTCAGGCTGAGAAGCCTTGTTTCCTGTCCCGGAAACGCATTTCCTTAAAACCCAAACTCACACCAACACTACTCCCTCTGCTGTGGGCAAACAGCTCACCTGGCTCACCTGGCCTGTTGCCTTAGGGTTTGTTTCTGGAACCCAGGCATGGACGCGTGGGGGTGGGGGTGGGGCATCTTTCAAACTTTTGACAAGCTTGCATTTTGCATCACCACCAGCGCGCGCCGTGTGTGTGTGTGTGTGTGTGTGTGTGTGTGTGTGTGTGTGTGTGTACCAGCATTAGAATTAATACTTGGCCAGTAGGTCACTGTCATAGAACAAGCCTATGGGGGTACCAGAATAAACCTGATCCATGATCCACTCTCAACATGGATTTTCCTCTCTCTTCGGGGTATTATATGCATGCAGGAAACTCTGTCTACTCACGTCCAGCAGGTTTGCACTCCTGTCACCAAACACCCGGATCAGGGTACAGAAAGTGACCACGAGAGTGAAGAGTGTCCGCCAGCCCTCTAAGGGCTCCTTGTGGCTGACCTGATCAAGTCTCAGAGGGCAGCACTCAGCTCTGTTGTAGAGAGGAAACTTTTACTCTCCCCTGTTAGGTTCTGTGACTGAGACTTGCAAATTCAACTGACAAATGTTAACCTGAACAGATGGGAAGACATAGTTTTATTCGTCTTAGATTTCATATTGCACATGACTTTGTAGACGAAAGAGTGCAAAACCGAAATGAGTGCTTAGACTTAAGAGCACTCAAGAGGACGATAAATCGTGGGGAAGTGACGAGACAAAGGAAAGAGTTTGGGCTGCTAGGGCCAATAGGCTGTGGAAAAGGAATGAGGAAATCATGTGGGGGCACTACTGGGAGGTTGGCATCATTTTAGTAAGGTCTGTTCGGCACATTCAGGGAGGAGAGGGTGCCCCCTTCCTGGTACCGTGGCCACCCGCCTGGGAAATTCACGTCCTGCCTTTAGGCAGGCGGGGGAGGGCAGAGGGTTCTGACACAACTGCTCCTTCTCCCTCACACTTACTGGTGCCTACTTGGTCTCGATGCTGGGAATCCTCCAGGATTCCCCCCTAGCCATCCTCTGTGGGTATGGAGCGTTTTCCTAAAGGGAGAGGTATCTAGTCACAGCAGAAAGCCGTGGCAAGTAGGTTCATGTAGACAGTTGGGTGTTGCCTGAGGTCAGGCTCAAGGCAGCTGGATCCAAGTGTGAGTGCCCCTTGGCGCCTTCCGATGAAGCTGAACTTCCGTAAGCTCAGTCAGGCACTGGAGTGAAGGGATTCACAGGAAAGAAGGCTGCCGTGAGGCAGGGAGTCAGGCTGGGAAGGTCGGAGAGGAAGGAAGGCTGGAGAAAGGGGAAAATGGGCTAGGAGCTGGTCAGCCTGGGTGGTGGGAGGCCGTCCGGGAAGAGGGCATCTTCCCAGCAGATCCGGTTTTGTTCAGTCCGCTGTGTGGGGTTGGGCAGTGAGACTAGGAGCAGGGCCTGGTGGGTTACTGGCTGCCCTCACTTCCTTGCAGGGCAAGCTGGAGAAGTCCCTGGACCACCTGCAGAAGCAAATGGAAGATGCCCTGCTGTTCCAGGCGCAGGCGGAGGAGACCTGTGCCCTGTGGCAGGCAGGTGGCTGAGTGCCGAGTCCCAGGGGTGGGGAGGTGGGGCACTGGTGCCCCCACTGCTGGATGGCGCTGTTCACACCAATGCTCTCAAAACGCAGCTCTCCTGCTCTAGACCCTCAACCCCCGGGGTAGGTTTGTGGGTCTCGGCTCACTGTCCCCTCGGTGCCCCCCCCTCCCCACTCTGCAGAAGATGGTGGAGACCCAGCGGCAGAATGTGCGCGCAGAGTTTGAGCGGCTGCGCCGCCTGCTGGCAGAGGAAGAGCAACGGCTTCTGCAGAGGCTGGAGGAGGAGGAGCTGGAGGTGCTGCCGCCGCTGCAGGAGAACGCTGCCCGCCTTGGGCAGCAGAGCGCCCAGCTGGCCGATCTTGTGGCTGAGCTGGAGGGGCGCTGCCAGCTGCCGGCGCTGGGACTGCTGCAGGTGAGCACATGCTGGAATGGGCACGCGGGGGCTCCAATGGGAGGGGATGCAGACCTGGGAGCAGGAAGGAGGGAGCCCTCGGTGGAGCAGGCTCTCTGAGCTTGGCCTCTTCTGGCAGTCCTGTGTCCACCTGTGAAATACTGGGGTGAGGGCCTTACGGACGTGCCTCTGCCTGGGGAATGGATAAGGATCCCGAACCCCACTGAGAACCGCTATTGGTACCTGTCCAGGAGCCCCATTGGAAACAGAAGCAGAACTCTGAGTGACATACGATCCCAGGGCCCCAGCTACACCAGAGTTTGGGTCCTGGGCCCCCTCCAGGATTCCCCCCAGCCATCCTCTGTGGGCACAGAGCGTTCTCCTAAAGGGAGAGCTATCTAGTCCCCACTGCCCAGAGTAGCCAGGTGACCTCTGCAGAGGTCCACTTCCTTCAAGGTCCAGGCCCCCCTTCCTACCCCTGGGCGGGCCCTTTCCCCATCCCTCTCCTAAGTGGTTAGGGCAGCTCCAGACCTTGTGACAACCAAGACTCAACCCCCCCCCCCACACACACACACCTCCCCTTACCCAGTGGAACAGTAAGGACAGCTGTTTGTAACCGCTCTGTACCTGGCCCTTTAGATGTGCCTCTCCCGGGCCTGCACTGTCCGTTTCTCCTGATGAATCCGCAGGTTCCACCAACTAGTCTCCCCTTTCTTTAGAAGCCCAGCAGGTCCCCAGGCTCCCCAGACAGAACCAACTACTGTGTGCAGTTTCCTGCCCCTAAGGAAGCCCTTGTTGGCACAACGTCTTACTTGCCCTCTTCATCCTGGTTTCTGGCCTGGTCGCTGGCACACAGTATAGTTAGAATGACTGCTTGTGGGCTTCATTTGATTTACAAAGTGGGCTGGGTCCCTGCTGAGTGCTAGGCAGTGTTCTAAAAGGACAAGCTGTTTACTGTCAGGAGCTGGCGTTCCCAATAACAGATTGTCTCTGTCAGCTCAGGCTGTGTAACAAGTGACACACAGGTGGCTTAAGCAACAGACCTTTATTTCTCCAGTCCTGGAGCCTGAGGTCCAGGTGTGGGCAGAGCTGGTCCTCCTGAGGCCTCTGCCTCAGTGTACACCTGTGTCCTCATCTCGCTTCCTGCAAGGACACCAGCCGTATGGGATTAGGTCCGCCCTAGTGGCCTCATTTTAATATAATCACCTCTTTAGGAAGCCTGTTCTTCAAATACTGACACATTCTGATACTGGTCATTAGGACACCAGTGTGGGTTTCGGGGCTACAACCAGCCCGTGACACTGAGTGGAATGCTCTTATGTATCACTGTGGGGGGAAGGAGCACCTAAGTAGAGAGGCCTCACCTGAAAGTTGGGCTCTGAGTCAGGACATGGGGGAGGGCAGCTAATGGAGGCTGGGTAAGGTGCCTATGGGCTGGATGGGGTGGGAGCAGGTGAGGCCGCAGGGGCATGTGGTGGGGACACTGTAACACAGATGGAAGTAGGGCGCTGACACCACATGTCTCTCCCACAGGACATCATGGACACCCTGCGCAGGTAGGAGTGCAGCCTTTCCCTCGGGAAGACGGTCGGGTACGGCTGGGCCCACCCTGGGGTGACACCTGGCTGCCTCTCCAGGGTCCAGGAAGTGAAGCTGCAGCCGCCTAAGGTGGTGCCCATGGAGATGAGGACGGTGTGCAGGGTTCCGGGGTTGGTGGAGGCTCTGCAGAGGTTCCGAGGTGGGTGCTACAGCGTACCGAGCGGGGTGGGTGGGGGCCAGCTCTGGTCCAGAAGTGCCCATCCCAGGGCCTGTGGTAGGAAAGGCACAGAGGCTCCTGGGTCAGGGCTGAGAAGGGGAAGGACCAGGGCAGGCTGCTGAGGGAGGGCCAGCTGTCCTGGTACATTTAGGAAAAGTGAAAGTCGGTCCATCAGGTGCCAGGACACCTGTGTAGGCCCAGGCTGGGGAGCCCATTGTGAAAGTGAGTGGGGCTGGGACATAGGATTGGAAGAGTAGACAGAAAGCACTCTGGTTCCTCCTGAATTTAAAGAGAGTGAATTGCAAGGCAGTGTATGACCACTTTCCAGAACATTCCGAGTTGCAACTGCAAGTGGTTAGGTGATCTTTCCAGGAAGACACAAGGTGGGGAGCAGTCACTCTAGCCAACTATAAGGACGTTTGAGGGCAGACCCCATGTAGGCTGGCAGAAGGGGCCCGAGGTGACCACTGCTCTGTCTGCAGGGGACATAACGCTGGATCCTGACACCGCTAACCCCGAGCTGGTCCTGTCAGAAGACATGCAGAGCGTGCGGCGGGGGGACCTGCGGCAGCCCCTGCCTGACAGCCCCGAGCGCTTTGACCCCGGGCCCTGTGTGCTGGGCCGGGAGCCCCTGAGCTCCGGCCGCCACTACTGGGAAGTGGAGGTGGGCGAGCGGGCCAGCTGGGCCTTGGGTGTCTGCAGGGAGAATGCTAACCGCAAGGAGAAGGGTGAACTCTTCTCAGGCAACGGGTTCTGGATCCTGGTGTTCCTGGGGGGCTTCTACAACTCCTCTGAGCGGGCCTTTGCCCCCCTTCGAGACCCCCCCCGGCGGGTAGGCATCTTTCTGGACTACGAGGCCGGGCACCTGGCATTCTACAGCGCCACCGATGGGTCACTCCTGTATGCCTTCCCCGAGACGCCCTTCTCAGGGACGCTTCGGGCCCTCTTCTCACCTCTGTCTAGCAGCCCCACCCCCATGACCATCTGCCGACCCAAGGGAGGGCTTGGGGATGGGCTGGCTTCCCAGTGAGCAGGTGTCTCATGCCTTTGAGTCTTCGAGGGTGTCCTGAGCCGCAGGAAGAGCTCCCAGTGCCACTGTGTGTGCTTAGTAAAACCCCCTCCCTCTGTCATCCCGGGAAGCCATTCCTGGGGGGCCAGCAGCCTCTCCAGGTGACCCTCCATGGCCGTGTGATGTCACCAGTGCATGGCTCACAGTCTGCACAGCCCAAGCCAGGGTCCTGGGGAGCTCTGTTAGCAGGAGCCCGGCTGGTCAGCGTTGAGGCCAGCGCCTGGGGAACTTTCTGAGGCTTCAGCCTGAGTCCTTGCCAGCTCCCGGGCTGCATCCCCAAAGAGCTGCTGTCTTGTGAGAGTCCGTCAGCCTGTCTCAAGGTCTGGTCCTAGAAAATGGTGCTGAATGTGGATGCCCCATTATTTGGGGTGCAGAAGTCATCAGGAGAGAAGCGGGCATGGGAAAGGCCAGAGGAAGAGTGCTCAGGGCAAAAGGTACTGCATAAGGAGTCTGAGGAACCTGGGCACAAGCCCTCAAGACCCCCAGGTGCTCCTCCTCATCCCACAGCACTGGCTGAGGAAAGACACTGGCCTTGCCTGGGGAAGGGGTGAAACTGCACAGATCTCTCCACCCCAATCCAGGATTTCTATTGGCTTGTTTTGGTGCTTTTTTCACAAGAAGCTGCGTATCCCAAGATTTTATGTGTGGTAAGGACCATCCTCACAGTAAATAAACCATTGTCTGTGATGTCACTGTTTTGAATTGGCTGGGAGAGTCCATGGGCAAAGGCCTGCCATCCACAGCAAAGTTGGGGACAGTGGCTGGCTGCATTTCATGTAACTACAATGGGATTCTTTTTTTTTTTTTTTTTAAGTTACAGTTGTTTTTTTTTTTAATATATTTTATTGGTTTTTTACAGAGGGGAAGGGAGAGGGATAGAGAGTTAGAAACATGAATGAGAGAGAATCATTGATCAGCTGCCCCTTGCACACCCTCCACTGGGGATGTGCCCGCAACCAAGGTACATGCCCTTGACCGGAAATGAACTTGGGACCTTTCAGTCCGCAGACCGACGCTCTATCCACAGCCAAACCGGCTTTGGCGGGATTCTTTTTTTTTTTTTTTTTTTTTTTTTTTTTTTAATAATATCAACTGTTCTAGGTTCCATGGTGTTCAGTAGCTAGTTACTTGATTATTTATTTACTCATTTCCCCATTGTTGGACTTTTTAAAATGTATGCACCACTTTGAACGATTCCTTCAAATTACGTACCCAGAAGGTTTTTCTCAGTCAAGCCAGGAGTCTGCCACTTTTCTGGCTGGGAAAGTTTCCCCATCCTTTCCCAGTTGACTGCCTACTGTTTCACTTCGTGTTGAGAATCTAATTGGTTCTTGCCTGAAGCAAGATTTGGACTTTAATGTTCAGAATTTCGTGGATGGCCACCGGAAGCCAGGAGGTGAGACAGCCTCCAGATGTGAGTTTGGAGGAGCAACTACTCCAAGAACAGGATGGACACCTCCCCAAGGCTTTGGAGCACCAGTGTGAGGGAGGGGAAGTATTCCCTCCACCCATCTGACCCCTGTCTGGACCCTGTAATAAAAGATTAATGAGAAAAAGAAGTTTATTAACACACACACCTCATGCACATGGAAGACACCCAGAGGAAATGAGTAACTCCAGCAGCAGCTTAGAAGTCCAATTTCCGCATCCATTGCAGTAACGAACAAGTTTGTGGGAAATGCCGTTCTGAAGCAGTACTAGGGTAGAAGGGCTGGTTAGGGGGTTTATGGAGATTCCCAGAGTCAGCCCCATGCTGAGGGATCTCATTGTCTCCTGTGACTGACTCAGCAGGGGAAGGACTTGCAGCTTCTCTACTATCTGCTTATCCACTGCCCTCAGCCCAAAAGATCCTGTTGCCAAACTGGGAATTTGGGATGGAATGTTCACACATCCATCACCAGGTGACAGAAGAAATGAACTATTTGAGGACCATGTACACACATGCTGAGTGCACTTTCCAATGCTGAGCCAGTGGACCCTGTGATAGCCCCTCACTTTGCTGTGCACCATGGACCACAGTAAACAAAATATTTTGCCCAGGTAGCTGAGACCTCAGCGTGGCTAAGAGCTACAAACATGTGTCCCAGTAGGTAATGAGTGTCTGCAACAGATAAATGCCTCCTGTGCTACTAGTGGGGTCTTCAACACTATCAGTTATGTGCTGCACTAGTGTTACTGGGAAGGGGACCCGGCCCTTGGTGGGTCTGCTTAGGGCCAGTTAGGATGTGGGTTCTTAACTTCATGCAGGAAAGATTTCACAACACAAGTCTGGGTGAATTTTAGAAGTTTATTAAAGCTGGGGTCAGTGAAATAAGGCTGGGGAAGTCAGCCTAGGTTGGTCTGCTTTGGCTCACTAAGAAGTCAGTGAAAAGGGGTCTTGGAGGCAGGTTCAGGGGGATTGTCTGGGATGAATGCTGCTCTGGTTACAAGGCTGGTGATGGCCCTTGAACTACCAGTAGGTGTCTCCTGCTCTGTCTCTGACCTCTGCCTGTGGGGAAGAGGGCTGGGGTTGGGGGAGGCTCACAACACTTTTTAATTGTTTCTGTGATTTCTTTTTTGACACATGGGTTATTTAGATGTATGTTTAATTTCCAAGTATTAGGCTTTCCCAAATTTCCTTCTGTTGACTTCTGATTAAACTCCATTGTAAAAACACATACTTGGTTGTTTTATTGCCTGGCATATTGCCTTTCTGGAGAATGGTCCATGTGCACTTGGTAAGAATGTGTGTTCTGGTCTTTAGTGGAGTGTTCTGTTGTATCAATGATTGTGCAGATGGGATTTTAATTTATGGAGGGGACTGAGTGACAACACCATTGAAAGATTAATTTAGTGTATTTCTTAAGAGAAGGAGGCATTCCTCTGGATTCACATTACTGCCTAATGTCATTTTCTTTCTCCAAAATAGAACCATTCCTCCCTCTTCTGTCTGCATTTGGTGATATAAATATGGTGTCTTTATATGTTATAATCCCAACAATACAATTTTATAATGATTGTGTTGTATGGCTGGCTTTTAAATCAGTCAAGAAAATGTATTGATACTGTTTTCTATGTCTACCTATATAATTTTGCTTACCATATTTTTTTTTTCCATGTAGATTTTGAGTTTTTATCTGGTTTCAATTTCTCTTGGTTCTTAAGTATTTTTAAAAAAATATATTTTATTGATTTTATTACAGAGAGGATAGAGAGTTAGAAACATCAATGAGAGAGAAACATCCATAAGCCATCTCCTGCACACTCCCTACTGGAGATGTGCCAGCAACCAAGGTACATGCCCTTGACCGGAATTGAACCTGGTTACCCTTCAGTCTGCAGGCAGATGCTCTATCCACTGAGCCAAACTGGTTAGGGCCTTAAGTATTTCTTGTAAGTAAAACTTGCTTGCTGCAAATTCTCCCAGTTTTATGTATATATCTAGGAATATTATTTCAGCTTCATTGTTGAAGGGTAGTTTTGCTAGTAATAGACTTAGCTAGTTTTTATTCTAGCTTTTTAAGCATGTTATCTGAATATCTTTACCCTCCACTGGTGGTTATCTTTTATGTTCTTATTGATTTTTATTTTTAGAGAGAAAGAGGGAGATGCAGAAACATTGATTGGCTGCCTCATGCATGCCCCCTACTGAGGATTGAGCCTGAAACCTGGGCATGTGTCCTGATTGGAAACTGAGCAGGCCCCTTCATCTGGGCACAAACACACACCCCCCCCCACCACCTGCATCTTCTTTCTCTGCTCACCACTCTGTCCTCCATTCCCTACTTCCGTAGCTCCCCCCAGGACTCTGGTGGTTCCTGGGAAGTGTCCAAAGTGGTTTGGATTCCGCATTCACCCAGTACCAAATGCCCATATCGCTGGGGTCCAGGCGGAAGACAGCTGCCCTTGTATGTAGAAACAGGCACTGCACCAGCCTGATTAGACATGATTTTGACCTCACAGCAAGCCTAGAGGGTAGATACTCACTCTCTCTGTCATCCCAAAGGAAAACCTGAGGCCTAGAGGCGTTAACATGCCCAGGATCACACAGCTGGAAGTGTGTAAAAAGATATGGTCTCTGTTCGGAACACTGCATTGGGGGCAGCAGGCAGGGACAGAGGCAGTAATAGTGCAAAACAGGTGTGTGTTTCCTGCATTGAGGTAGAACATGCTTGGTAGACAGGAGGAGAGGGCCCCCTGCACCCCTCCTGGCCTAAGCCTCTGAGATTTGAGCTGGGCTCTTGGGGAAGGCTGGGATTTCAGGTGGGGAGGATGGCTCCAGGCTGAGAGAGATGGCCTGGGGCAACATATTGCAGGGGTCCATGATCGATTGCTCTGCAGGGGGATGCCCTCTGGCGGCACCACTGGCTGGGTGGCCTGGGCTTCCTTCTTGGGGAGACTCACTGACCATTATGGCTTGCTGGCTCCGCCCCCCTCCCATTGGTCATTCCAGAAGGTGGTTCTGCCTTCTGGTCTAATTAGCATATTAGCTGTTTATTATATAGGATATTTTCCAATGGGTGGGGCAATTGCTTCCCCCCAGACAAAGGTGTCTTGATGATAAAGGTTTGCTGAAGAAAGATGTCCTCTGCCCTACAGGGTAATGACTTGCACAGGAATCTAGGTGGCTGTCCTTCGAGGTGTATCCACAGAGCCACCAATCCTGAATTCTCTTCACACAGCTCTAAACCACTCTGTCCTTCCTCTGCCAAAGAACAAGGTAAATGGCTTCACATGAAATTTTGTGCTTTGCCCTTTTAAGAGGGTACCTGAATTTCCAGCCATCTCTCCCTAGCAGGTAGAAACCCCACTGTTTTTCATAGCCAGATGCCATGTGGGCATCTTCCTCAATTTTGGTGCTCTGGACTGGAGAGCCAAGTGTGGAGTTTATACCCTGGAGTTCTCAGCGGGAACCCCCTATGACAGATATTCCTCCTGAACTTCAGCTGCTGCCTATAGGAGCCTGGTCAGCTTGCTCACGCCTCCCCACTTTCTGCCAGTCTTTAGGTGGTCTCCACTTTATATTCTTGGTTATAAGAGTTCTCTCCAGCTAGTCTTCAGTTGGTTATTCAGGATTGTTTTTCTATATTTTAGTTGTAATTCTAGTTTGGTCCTGGGTGAATGTCAGCGTAGTTTCCACTTAATCAGCTCCATCTTGGAATTCTCTGCCAAAAACAATCTTTGAGGGGCAAAAAGCTAGAGGCCTCACACTATCTGATTTCAAAACGTTATAAACTACAATAAAGACAACAGTATGGTATTGGAATGAAGACACACACACAGACCAAAGTAACAGTAGAGCCCAGAAATTATCCTGTGCGTATGTGGTCAAATGATATTTGACAAGGTTACCAAGGCTGCACAATGGGGAAAATATGGTTTCTTCAAAAATGTTAGGAAAACGACACTTATGCATGATGCCCAGATGAAAGGCCCTTGTGTGCAGAAACAGGCACCGCACCCGCCTGGTTAGACATGATTTTGTCCTCACAGCAAGCCTAGAGGGTAGGTACTCGCTCTCTGTCATACAAAAGGAAAACCTGAGGCCTAGAGGAGTTAAAATTACCTCAAAATGTGTGAAACACTTAAAACTATATAACCCCATAAAAAAACATTGGGGAAAGCTACGTGGCATCGAATTTGGCATTGATTTCTTATATGACATCAAAAGCACAGACAAAAATATAACAAAAAATGGGATTACATCA